ATTTTTCTAGCTAATTACTTTTCTATTACAATTTAAATCGCTTTGTTCTGTGTAAACATATGTGTATATGTAAAACTAATGCTTCATTTATATAGTCAGCAAGTATATTATCACCATAGTTTCTTGTTGTACGTACGATATATACGAAAAATATTGTTTAGTTAAGAACATATTCCTCAATTTTATGTTCGCGTTTTCACAGACCTAAAACAACGACAACAAGAATTCCATATACCTCTCGAAGGGTTTTGTTCAACCTTTCAAACATTCACCTCAACAATGCGGTAAACTGAACCAGTGCCACCTCTGCGCAAGGTCAATGTCACCCTTGAAAATTAAATGTCAGACAATTGGTGTCGCTTTAAAAATCTTAAAACAGTTTTTTTTAAAGAATACATGTAATGATAAATTGCACTTCTCCATACACTGTGTCATATAGATCATAGAGATGGGAGTATATGTCACTCCATGGACTGCTCTAGTTAATGAGAGAACCTCAGTCAGACTGTCTAAAAAGATGTAATGTAAACTAAACAGTCAATGTGTAACCTTCAATTTTAGACTCCTCTTTTACAGATTATGAAAGTAAAAATGGCTTCACACATGTTGCTCTTTGTTCTAGTTGTTTTGTTTTAAAAATGTAGCTTGAATTGTATTTATTTATTTATTGTTATTGCACTTTTTTGAAATCGCCTTGCTTTTCATATATTTTGAAAATCCAAATAAATCAAAATAATAAAACATTATTTTCTCATACTTCATCTAATGTACTTTTTTCTAGCTTTTTATAACCTAGATTTTCTGATATATTGGCAAAACAACAACAACAGTGCCAAAAAGGAAAACAACACTCTTTATCAAATTTTAAAAGAAAATGTATGGTAAGCCCCAATAAAGCTTAGATTTATAGATCTATGTATTTTGATGGTAATGGAGAATTTCATTTCAACTTGTACATTTAACACAAACCAACGACAACAAAAAATTCAGAAAGCCCTCGAATGGTTTTCTTCAATCTTCGCACTAATGTTCAATTCAACAAGGCGGTAAAAAGAAACCTTGTCGCGTCTGCGCAAGGTCAAGGTCACCGTGATGATCAAATGCCAGACAATTGGTTTCGCTTCAAAAAATTTAAAACAGTATTTTTCTTTTTTACTTTTTTTTAATTACATGTAATGATAAATTGCACTTTCATACCCTGTGTCATTGAGATTATAGATGTGGGAGTATGCGTCACTTCTGCTCTGGTTAATAGGAGAACCTCTTACAGACTGTCTAAAGAGATGGAATGTAGACTAACATTTCAATTTCAAACCCATGAAGACTAACATTTCAATTTCAAACCCCCTATTTTACAGATTATGAAAGTAAGAATGGGCTTCACACATGTTGCTCTTTGTTCTAGTTTGTTTTGATAACTATAAAACTGTTGCTTGTATTGCACATATTTGTTATGATTGCACGTTTTTGTAACCGCCTTTTCTTTTCATATACTTTGAATATCCAAATAAATCAATATTATTGAACTTTATTCTTTCTAAGTATATCTAATGTATTTTTCTAGCTTGTATGGCCTAGGTATTCTGATATATTGACAAAATAGAAACAGAACAAAAACTAAACAAAAAATATGTTCATCAAATTTTAAAAGAAAATGTATAGTAAGTCCCAATACAGCTTAGATTTAAAGATCTATGTATTTTGATGGTAATGGAGAATTTCATTTTAGTTTGTACACTTTATCACATTAGAAGACAACTGAATTTTATCCTGTGCTTCTAGATATCAGCTTGTGCGTGGCTCAAAAATTTATATCCTATATCTACCACATACAATTTGTAGTGTATTTGGATGCGTTCAAACAGTTTTGAAAAAAAAAATATCGTTATTTTCAGCAGCTAGGTTAAAATAGAAAATACAAACACTTTCTTCAACATTTTTCATGCTTTTCGACTTGTATTTACTTAAAGAACGGCCTCTCATTGACCACGCATTGAGAATAAAGTATATAATATTTTGTCTCTCCTAATTACACGTTCCTATTACAACAAAACAGCACAAAACAATTTATTTGCCGGCTATAAACACAGCAGCATTCTGTCTTGTAATATTGAAGCAGACAATTCCGCTCCTAATACAAAATCAATTACACTCTGTCAAGTATTCTGCAGAGGAATAAAAACAACCCCCTTAAATCGGCTTTTTTATTTCACTATCCAAACAATTTGGTCTGTAATAACATCGGACGTTTATATCAAACGTTCGGTTTGATTCTATCCTATAAGAAGCTTATTTTTGATGTCTTTTAACTGGATGACAGTTCGTCGTATTGCAATCATTCATATAGTTACAAATGTACTATAATTTACTTTATTCAGGGTAGACTGTACTTACTCAATGTACATGCGCAACAAACGGTTTGAAATTAATAATAAACATGTTTACTAATACACGTGTTACTAATTAAATGTACATATCTTATTAAGTTATTTTAGAAGGTAAACATTAATTAAGTCATTATATGTTTTTAAAGGTTGTATCATGTGAGATGTTTAGTGCGAAGGGGGGGGGGGTACCATTACAATCTTTTTTCACTCGCCGGAAGTCCGTGGGTTGAAGTAAATTTAACAGTATATTATTGATAGAACGACACAAAACCAACAGTCTATCAATGTCAAAAAGTGTGTTTGGTTTTTGAAGACTTTGAAACATAAATAATGAAAACTTCAAATTGTTTGAATCTACGTTAAGAGAATATGTTAAGGACATGAAAAAACTCCGTTGTTTTATATGAAAAAAAACCGTTTCAAATGAATTTTGTAAAGTATAAGCAAGCAGCTTTTTTCGTGGTAATGTCACAAAATGTTTAGAGAAATTTTCACAGCTCTATCAAATGTCATGTAAATGTCAAAAAAAAACAAGTGCAACAATAATTCATAGGATCAAGTAATGTGATGTAAACCATCAGTCAATTTAAGTCAAGTGTCTTTAGAAATACATTTGATTTTCAATTTATTACACGTACAATTACACTTAGTATTATTCCGTTTAACATCGACGATTTCCGTGATCTAAAACTGCACGGAAGTACCTCGCTTATTATAGCTTAATCAGCAAATCTCAATGATGGGTAAAAACAGAAAAATTGCATACAGATAAATGAATACTTTATTAAAGAAAAACACATCATAGAATCCCATAGAGAACATGGTAGAGTGAATACTGTTTTATAAATGTGTTGTATAATTCTGAAACAAAATTTTAAAATATATTTTAACATAAACATTGTTAAATGATATAATACATATGGTTAAATATAATACTGGCTTTAATTTAATGCATGTAAAATAGTTTGAACAATACAACACATATATTAACTACTTATTGCACACTTTTAAAAGCATATTTATGCTATAGCAGCAGTGTACATAAAAATGTTACAATACAACATGACGATCACAAAACTTAACTATACTTAACTATAAAGATTGGTTTGACTTAATTCACAAAGGAAGCATTTGTTTCCGGTCATTGTAATCTATTAAATATCTTAACGAAAATATCCTAGGTAAATATGTGTTAAAATCTGAAAAAATAATGCGAGCATTCAATATTTGTAGGTCGCAAAAATGGTCATTATGAATTTCACATAAACATTAAAGTTAGCATTAAATGTTTATCACAAAAGAAATCTTTAATATTCATTATGTAAATAAAATTCAACAACGTGTTTATATAAATTAGAAATTCAGATCTAAAACGTGTGCAACTATACGAGAACATGTCTAGAGTGTTAGCATCGTAACAAGTAAATTTAGACAACTACAAATAACATCATGTCTAACTCAACTAGGACAAAACTTGCTTAACACGACAACACAGTTAATAATAATAATAATTGGTGATAAACAATGTCATTGTAAACTTTAAAAAACTGCAATATAGTGCTTACCATTTTACATAAATATTTTATAATTGTTCCTGAATCAGGAAGAATATATTCGTTGCTAAAAATATCATTTTGGCACATATTTTAATATAATTTCTACGCTAGACTAACATTCACATAACTTAATAATAATACATGTATTCCTACAAAAACAAATCACCTTGTAAACCATTAATCCCGAAAGACTACATATAAAAGAGATGATCTAAAAACAAAACTTGGCACATTTAAAGTGACACAAACCTGTCAATGAATATATCAGAATATCATACACTCACGTCTATTACTCCATTAAATTTGACGAAATTCTGCGCTGCGCTAGACAGATTCAAATTGAAAAGAACCGCTAACCTTTATTTGGAACATGCCGAGTTTCTTCGGCATATCCCGGGACTTTCCGTCCTTTGTTCAAGCGATGACATACGGATTAACAAAAATATCAATGTTACATGAAGATATTTTACGGAAATTTAAGAATTTAAGTTTGCCGGACCTGCCGGGATGAAATATAGATTCGAAATAAGCTAATTGTTGGATTGTTGCTGTACTAATTGATTTGACTTTTCATCTGCATTCTATAAATCTTATGAAACCATTATAAAACCAGCACAAAGTGGAGAGGGAATGATACAAGCTTTGCATTTCAATATGATTGACAAAGCCATGCAAATGAGTAGTTCAAGATATCGTTGTGTACTTGTATAAGAAATAGTACAAGAAATAAATAAGTCTTTCTGTCAGAGTTCTCTCTCTTGACAAGTAATTCTTTCATAGTTTACTGCCTTGCATAACAAATAATTTAATACATATTTTTTGCGAGTTCTCTTTCTTGCCTTATAGGTCATTATTTTAGAGTATTCCCTCTTGCACAGTAAATAATTTATTTTTCATAGTTCTCTCCCTTACCTATTAAATAATCATTAACATCATAGTTTACTCCTTTTCCTACAAAGATAATTATTTAAGTAAATGAGAACTCTTTTCTTTGAGAGATTTTTGTTTATCTCTTTTACATAAACCTACAACCCTTGATTATCTCCAACACAATAAATTAACCACGGAGTTCACTCCCTTGCGTTTGCCTTAACTGATTAATAAATTCTAATTCATCTTTTTTCATATACTCACAATCTTCAAAGCTTATACTGAACTGTTCGTTCCATTTCGATTGTTCAACTCGCAATAAATTATCGTTCCTGCCTTTCTGTGTTGGATCATTGCAATATTTATTCAAATCAGTCAAAACATTTTTAAAATGAGAAACTTCGAACTTTATTTCATCACTTTCTTTGTTAAACTGATCCCAGAATTTTTGGTAAAAATAATCATATACTTTGTAATCAAGCTTATTTCGTGATTTGAATTTTGCAACGTCGTTTGTTGTAAGGTCTTCAATTGTTTGCCCTTTGCCATACACGTTATTAGATACAAATAAAATATCCTTTATGTTCCATTTCAAATACCGCTTCATAAGTATAAGTGACTCCTCAATGTATTCCACAAGCAATACAAGTTTGAAAATTTGTCCTAATTCTTTTAACTTCGCGTTTACTCGTTCCTCGTCGTTTGTTTTTGGAAATCCAAAATCTCGCGCCATTACGTTTTTCGTGTACGAAAAGAATTGCCTATCATATAGTTCGGGATTTTGAATAAGTTTCTGTAACCTATTCCCGCGGATTTTCGATATGTACTGGATTTGCTGAGTAGGCTGTGTATAGTAATTTACAGCGGAAATAAACACTTGCTAAGGGTCCCGAAACAGTAGCTATATATACAGTATCAGTAGGTAGGAGGATGAGTAAACATTATAGTTTAAAAACACCATGAGTACATTATAATATCATAACTTTTCCTATGTCTTGGTTTCACAAGCGGTAAATGTCGCTCAGGTATTCTGGAAAAGTAATTAGGATGTGAAGTAAAAACAAACGTCAAATTCCGCTTCAGTCCAAATCGGAAGAAAATGTTTTGCATGGTTGAACTCGCTGCCTTGTGAACCTTTAGGAACCCGATATGACGCACTTCCAATTGTTGTTGTTCTTGTTGTTGTTTTTCTTGTTGTTGTTGTTGTTGTTGTTGTTGTTGTTGTTGATGTTGTTGCTGCAGTTGCTGCTGCTGTTCTAAACTTGATTTATAAAAAGTCTGATTTTCTTTAAACTGTGAAAACTCTAAGTTACGATGAGTAATTTCAATTTTCATATTATCAGTAACTTGTATTTTATCTTCAGTTTTGAATGATCTTTCTGTAAAGCTCTGTTTTGGATGCTTCTGAAATGGCCCTTTATTTAAATGTACAAGCGTGGCATATTCTGTTTCCGTCGGCCCAAGTATTGCAATCACACAAATCACCATAGCAACCAGTAAAATACATCTGCAATAGGAAACGTTGATATGTTCTGTTAAATTACTCAATCCACAACTTCATTTTAAACTAGCGTTAAAATAAATGAAAAATTTGATGAATCATTACAGAAGAACTTTACACCAGCCAGCGCATAATATCAGCTTACACACTTATTATCCTGGAGGCTATATAGTGCCTGCTAGCATTGAATTTAGTAAGTTTAGAACTTTGTGAAATGTAATCACTGAATTACTAAATGCATGCGTTAATAAAAAAGTATGAGTACATGAAAATTATCAAAACGTTATACAGTGCCTTGTGTGAATTATTCATGCTTAACAAAAAAGGTTGGTATAAAATGAAATGTCTGTAATAATATTATAAACGAAATTATAGAATTTCTACTGGCATAAAATGTCGAATCTTTCTCACGGCATTTTGATAATTTATTACTTTAGACATGCACAAAATACCAATTTCTTACCATGATATAAAGCATACATTTTCCATTAGATACACGCTATAATATAGTACCTTACTATGCTTAGTACATGTTAGTATTCAATTCTAATTCGGTGCTTTCAGCACTTTGATTTAATAAACTTAAATATAGTTTTCAATAGCAGAGAATGTGAATGTTGGATGATTATGGTTATTTGAAAGTAACGGTATCTTGGAAATTTACCAGTTAAAGCACAGCATTTTTTTTTAATAAAATTCTCGATATTACAAAAAGGAAATGTGTTAATAAGTTATAGAATAACAAAGTGAAAACTTTTTGTACACTTTGCTTTATATTGGCTGACTATAGTAGACTAATAATTTTATCTATTACATTAAACAACTTCATCGTGTGACTTTCCCGTATTTTGAACTTAAATCACTCGCGTCATCTTTCCTGTAGAAAAAAAATATCATTTTATAGTGCAGATACATAGCTTCTTAGTTTCGTCTACTTAACTTCCGGTTATATGTGTTCGAAAATATAAACCATTAATAGTTTTAATTTTCGGGCCTATTTCTTTTAACTAATGTTATTATTTATTACTGTTTGATATGAGAGCTGGGGGTAGCCCTTGAAATTTGACTTGTATTTAGCCAATGTTACCACATCCGCGCTCCTGTAATTTCTAAAGTACCTGCTGTGTCATTGTAGCCATGTGTGTCGGATATTTTTTAAGTTAATAATGGTAGATTTTTCTATTACTCTCAGACTATCAGGAATTTTTTCACTCCCGTAATGGCGGACAGTACGTTGATAACAAAAATGGCCGGCGTTTCAAATTATCCTTTATTAGCATTGTCTATTACACAGAACTCGTCTTGTGTTCGTCTTGGAAACATTACAATGTCTGTGGGTGGGCCACGTTACTATTGACATATGTGTGAATATGATAACTTCCAATAACAAAACGGTCAATGCCAGATAAATATTCCTGCAGCAAATGGGTAATTATTATGTAATTTACTAACTGGCACACAACAGTAATTGGCACCATATAAAGATGATCATTCATAAGGGAAGAAATATTGAAATGGCCGAATAGCCCAGACACGGCCCTTTTTTTGTTCATAAAAAACTAAGTTAACTTAAAGAAAATTGCCAATATTACTTTATTTGAAACGTCAGTGAAGTTTGAACATCATTTTTATTTTATTTATTTATTTATTCTTGCTTATTTATTTATTCTTGTTTATTTATTTATTTATTTATTTATCTATCTATCTATCTATCTATTTACTTGCATTTTTTCCCTATTTTAAACTTAAACTTCAAATGATTTAAATTATTTTTATCTTTATCTTTTTCATTTCTATTATACACAGGCGTTCGTCACTTTCTGCCTATGCATTATTTTATGTATCTTTGTTTTTTTGTTTTATTTTTTTTGCGAAATACCAATCAAAGCGCCGAGAAACCTTTGGTTTTATATCTATATTTTGATATTAAAATTTAGATCCAGGATCAGAATCTCGTTTTTGAATCGGATTATTTTGCCCGGCACATAAAATAGCTCTGTATCTCATTTTGCTAGTACACTTAGCACCCACATTTTACTTAGACAAAATTATCACCAAGCAAGGGGTTCAATCATTACATGTGTTTATATATAACATCATTGTATTCGTATATAAGAAAGTGGTGAACATGTTTGAATATTTATGAAGGATTTTGTATAGGAGCAAAAACAAAATGGTTTTAAAACAGAGAGAAAAAGGGTCTAAAACTTTCGTGAAGGTAAAGACTTTGAAGAAATTCTATATATTAGAAAACTAGAAAAAAAAACGTTCACGTTTAGTGTACATCTCTGCAAAATAGCAAAATAATATGATAAAACATTACAGTACTTAAAACAGAGACATAGAAAACATATCTACTTCACTGGTTAAAACGTTACATGAATGAGTAGGTTTCATACATTTCTTAACACTTCACATACTTTATTGTCATTATTATCATCATCATCATCATCATTATTATTATTATTTTTATAACTTTTATTATTATTATTATTACTATTACTACTATTATTATTATTATTATTATTATTATTATTATTATTATTACCACCAATACCATCATCATCATATCATTATCATCATTATTATTATTTTTTATCATTATTATTTTATTATTATTATTATTATTATTATTATTATTATTATTATCATCATCATTATTATAATTATTAATTAGTTTCCTGACCTGAAGGTGTGCTGTTTAAAGATGCATCAGCACATTTAATTCAACGCAAAAATTTGCCAGATGTCTGTAATTTAATAAGCACTTGAAAATGAAATATAAACAAAAGCTATCACAAGTTAAGCTGTTTTTGTGACACAAATTAACGTAAATTAGTGTACTTATATGGCATGACATTCAAGCATTTTTTGCGGCTATTAAAATACAGCAATCTGTGTTTAAGTTGTGATGTCTATGTGAACAACAAATGCGCATTTAAAGGTTATATATAATGATGTTAGATCGCAATCGTGCATTTAAAGGGACAAAACATACATTCTTTAAAGTCGATATATACATGTTTGCCCATTATTTTTTTTAATGACCATGCGTTATTCATAATTTATGTAAGAACTGTAAGATTACAAACAGGAGTATCTTAAAACGCTCACTAGAGCTAATGAATTTGAGTCTTTTTAAGTAATCTGTAATTGAAAAAGGCTAAAGTCTTAACCACAAATTAACTAGTTGATATAAATCTTCTTACCCTGTAACTTTCCTGAATCTCCCAAAATTTCCTCTAATTTATCCGGCATATCTTTTTAGTTCCATCAATAAACTACACACTCTTGTGTAGAAAACAGCCAAACTAGCATCCTCTGTGTCTGTGCTAAAAATAGAACTCCACACGCAGCAGCAGCGCGAGATGAACCACGCGCGTGTTTTATCAATGGATTATATTCCTACGATTCCCTTTCTACAGACAGAAATGGAATAATTTGACTGTTGATCAATACAAATTGTAAATTAATTGTCGCAAAATTTTCCGTAAATTGCTTAAAATGACGACTTACATACACTTTTCGCTCATTGCTATACATAAAATATTTGTATTTGTTTCCTTAAATGCAGCCTAGAACTTTACTTTAAAGACAATGAATAAATATCACTTAACTGAAGTTATGTTTTAATTGTGGCTTATGTATAATTGCACTTAATATTTGCTTTCTTTATCTTCCTTTTATAATGAAATTAAGGAAAACGGACAACAGTTGTTTACAAGAACAGAAAAAAAGAAAAAAATGAAAAAAGGTCCCGTACGAGACAAATGAGTTTCCTTATAGTCAATTAAACTCGATCAAAATATTATCAAAATTTGTGAACATAACCTGGGCCTGTATTTATACATAAAAAATTTTAAGCTTTTCTTTATATCATTATTTACTAATTAGTTTATTTATTTGAAGTCTTAATTTGTGTCTGTACCCTTTCTGTCTTTGTTCTATAAAGGTGTGATAGTAATATATGTCACATCATTCATGAACCATGCTTGAGACATATTGACTGTGATTTTGCATGTAAATGCGCATGCGCACGTTTTCAACTACTCCTTCTTGGATCTCATACTTGATAATTTGGCTTTACGACGTATATTAATCACTGAGGATGTTAAATAAGGAAGGAAATAAAATTATTTATACGATATTATACGTTCTCTCTTAATTGCTGAGTACGCTGTATGTATTTAGAAGAGGAGGAAGTACTTGCTAAATTTGTAAGCTTCACTTCT